AAAAATCAAAAAATCAAAAATCAAAAATCAAAAAATCAAAAAATCAAAAAATCAAAAAAATCAAAAAATCCAAAATCAAAATCAAAAAATCAAAAAATCAAAAAATCAAAAAATCAAAAATCAAAAAATCAAAAAATCAAAAAATCAAAAATCAAAAAGCTAAAAATCTAAAAATCAAAATCGAAAAATCTAAAAATCTAAAAAATATAAAAATCGAAAATCTAAAATCTAAAATCTAAAAATCTAAAATCTAAAAATCTAAAAATCTAAATCTAAAAATCTAAAATCTAAAAATCAAAAATAAAAATCTAAAAATCTAAAAATCAAAAATCGAAAAATCGAAAATCGAAAAAAAATCGAAAATCGAAAAATCGAAAAATCGAAAAAATCGAAAAATCGAAAAATCGAAAATCTAAAAATAAAAATAAAAATAAAAATAAAAATTAAAAATTAAAAATTAAAATAGAATAATTAAAAATGAAAAATGAAAACTGATAACCAGATACCAGACACCAGATACCAGACACCAGATAGCAGACACCAGATACCAGATACCAGACACCAGACATCAGATACCAGATACCAGACATCAGATACCAGATACAGATGCCAGACACCAGATACCAGCACCAGATACCAGATACCAGACACCAGTACTAGACACCAGACACCAGATACCAGACAACAGATACCAGATACCAGATAAAGCGATAACAGATACCAAATACCAGACACCAGATACCAGAGGCCAGATACCAGACACCAGACACCAGATACCAGATACGAGATAACAGATCAAAGATGCCAAAGGAAAAAACGATTAGAGATAGGGATAAAGTATATATCGCTAGCATTGCATTAGCATACCAGCAACTGCGCTACGTGGTTTTAAATAAAGACATCAACGGACAATATTTAGCATAGCGTTGGCATGCAAAACTGCGCTAGTCGACTATATTAAGCGGTGATCGATTGTTTTCTTGGAAGGTCACGTGACGTTAGAGTCAGGCGTGCGACGTCGACGCGGTTTTTCGCGTTTTTTAGGAGGTTCGCGGAAACGTTCGGAAGGAAAGAGGTACCGTTTCGGAAAGTAGACTCGGCGCTTTACGGGGGCGAGAGCCGTCGCGGCGAGAGGAACGGATCGGATCGAAAACGGCCGGTAAAGTCGAAAAATCGACCGTTTTCGGACGGTACGCGGCGTTATTTCACACTCGTTTCGCCGTTATCGAAATATCGACTCGAGATCGGTCTCGTTCGATAGCTAAACGACGGGCGCACTTTAGCGGAACCGATCGCGGTCCGCGTCTTAGTTTTTTTTTAAGAAAATGTTAAAGAAAACGCAAGAGAAAAACGGCAAGTCGCTTAAAAACTTCGATATCTCCTTACGCCGAAGAGAAAAGAATTTCGCGCCGCGTTTCGTACATCTCGACTAGCGCTACGAATTACGCGGAGAGACTTTTTTCCGTTTACGGCACCCGTTTCGAATAAACGAACCTCGAACGTCGTCAAGAATGACTTTTTTGCTTATGAAACGCGCTTCGCCGTCACGGTCTATCTCCTCCGAAGATAACGAGATACGACCTGGCGACTGTCGCATAAGAAAGCCCGTACTTCGAATACGGGATCGCAATCTTATCCGTTTCTCTATTCGTTTACGTTGAAAAGTTTCGATTTTTAAAAATTCCTCGACAATACGCTACTTTTCGACGCGTGAAAAAGTCACCTTGTCATCCGGCTCTGTCCTCGCTTATTACTACCGTACGTGAGCGAGTAAAAATTATACAGCTATCGAAAAATAACGATAATGAGCTGACGAAACGATTCTGACCGTCAGAATTACCGTCAAATTTCGAAAAAGTAAACTTTGAGCGCCTCAAAAGTACCGATGACAACCGTTTTTCGGCGTACTTTGTCTTCGTCGATACGACCTGCGTTACGGAGCGACGTAGCTACGATTTTTTTTCGCAAACGAAAGACCAAAGTCTCCTGATTAAACCGACATACGACACGTTACCCGATCGCATTTTTTAAACTCGGCAGATTACAAAATTCAAAGATATGCAGATATTTTAGTTTGACGTTTCAATTTTGAATTTCCCCTCCAGATCCCCGGATTCCTGTTAGGCGGGGTATTGTAGATACGATCGTATTACGAAAGCGAGCGCGAGTGCGAGCGGAACGTCAAAAACGTGCCATTTTCGGCTTCATGACTATCGCTTCATCCAATATTGGATCACGCCAAATAGAATTGTCCTTTTTTACGCGTGAAAATAAACATTTTCGAAAAGATTCAAAATTTCTATATTCCATTGTCTAAACGGACCGGACTAGAGCCATTAAAATCGGATGAATCTAGTAGTTTTTTATTTTACAGATTGCGATGTCTACCGCCAAAGGCTGCAATTATTCTTTGACGTTCATCAATTTATTGAAATCATCATCGGTTTATAAATACGATAAAAATATGATTGTAAGCCCCTATCATGTTATAATTTTACAATATGGCATAAAGCTCCGCTTTCAACCGATTGATATAAAGCGTATGTCTGATTGCATCACCTCCGATTTCTAACCTACAATGTATGAATGTAAACATTATCGAAATCTTAATAATGAGGCTCCCGTT